GTGAGTCTGTCACCTTATTTGTAAAACCTTAGAGTCATTTACATTCAAATTAGAACAAATGAGTGATTTCACAAAGTGCAGTGATAAATGACCACAGCAGCCCGAGACAAAACTGTATTTCCTGTGAACACATTAACAGTTTCCTATTATTTGTTAAAAATTACAATGCATATTGCCCAGTGTGGTGTGAATAATGGCTTTTTTACTGATTAGGTCAGAAGACTAATATGTAGCAAAATAAATAATTTTTCATTTCATTTTTTCTGATTTTTGCTTTAAATTAACTACTGAAATTTGGTGGATTCACACTGCCACCTGCTGCCTAGGATTAGATACTAAAAATACATTTTTATCAAACAGAGTTTGTTCATCACTTTGGTGATCTTGTTTGGAAAGTCGACTCAATGGGTCCCTTCTTATCAATAAATTTAAGTTGCATATCATAATAAAGGCTGATATTTGGTGAACAAAAAACCACTTGGTAATCAAACAATAGAATATACTATTTGCTATTTGGGGGAGGTGGTACAAAATGTACAAACTTTTTTTAAAAGCTAACTACAAATGTGTGAGCAAATCCTGTGTCTTCTACTGCGTCACTTTTAGGGGATATGTCACCAAGTCCAGTGGTCAGTACCCCTGGACATACTGCACTGTGCATCAGCAGAGGAAGGTGTGTGTGTGACGTTTTCCCTACTCCTGCCCCTTGAACTATCTAGAGGAGATGACTGAAAGCCTCTGCCTGTCACTGAGGATCCTCACTACCTAGTCTTCTCCCCTGATGGCAGGTATCACCATGAAAGGAAGGCCTCAGGGTCCAGAACACAGCCGGGTAGGAAAGGCACTAGGCTGGAGAGAAACAGGCCTGGACTTGGAAACTAGGCTAAAGGTTTTTGTAGGTGAAATGATGAGTTTAAATGGTGGTCAGGGGAGCTAGTGGAGATTTCCAGACTGGATCAACATCCTAGTTCTGAATTTCAGTTTCTCCATCTGCAAAAGGAAAACAACACTGACTGTCTTAAGGGACTACTTGGCAGAGGGCAAACAGGGATCCTTCTGCAAAACATGCAGTATGAAAGGGTCCTCCATGAACGCTGGTTCCCTTCCCTGGGAAAGATAACAATGGCTCTGGGGAATGTGTTTGGCATGGACAGAGGCTAGAAACAAGCAGACTCCTAGGAGGAGATCATGAACTATCATACCCTAGAACCAACAACGGTGAGAGTCTAAAGAAAGGGAAGAACATTACCGATGGAGGGAAGGATCAGGTCTGAGATATTTGGGACGTGGAATCAACCCAACTTAGTAACTTATCGGATACAGTAGTGAGGAGCCTAACACTATGTCCAAATTCCTAGACAACTAGTGGATAGATGGGACCATCAACAGAGAAAAGGGCATCTTTTCTCACAGTAATTTTGAATCGCCTGTATGATGTTTAGGTGGAGATGTTCAGCAGCTAATAAAAAAGGCTAGGAAAAACCAGAGTTTGGGAAACAATCCAGACTCAAGAAGTTCATAATGTTCACCTGAGGGATTCAGTAGAACACACTGACACCTCTACACCTGTAGCCATCACTCCTGAGATGTCTGCAGAGGTCCCATTATTAGATTTGAAACAGTGAGTGGCATATGTGGAAACCGTACTCTGCAAAGCAAGGAAATCCATGCATTTTGCGGGGCCCATTTTAAAGACAATAGTTGCTGTTTAATGAATTGGTGCATCCTTCTGATGAAATTTTTGAAAGAGCACAGTGGACAAGGAAGGGGTGCAGCAGGAGGAACAGAGAAAGGAGCACCCACATTTCATTTGGGACTGGATCTCAGACAGCAGGTAAAAGTCGGACAGGTCATGCTTATTAACGTACTAACAGGACAGTCTCCATAGCACTGTCCTATGAAATTTCCCTGCAAAGTGGGTGGGAGAGGACACAAACCTGAGGAGTTGCTTGCAAATCCCTTACCTTGGGGTGATGGGCTATTGTAGCCACTGCTCACCCTCACTCCCACCCTCATCAGTCAGCATCATTTTCACTGCTGGTCTCCCCGTTTATTCCACAAGCATGCGCTGAGGACCTGTGTGTCCTCAATGACAGACCCTGGGAGAGGGCCTGGGGACTAAAAATGAGTAAGGTGAAGTCCTTACAAGCTGGGAGGCTAATTCAATGGCTGTCTTCACTGACACAGCGGGGATCTCCTTCTGTAGCTCAGAGTCCCTGCCCTCAGTAACCTTCCAGAGGTTGAAACAGGAGCCCACAGTGTCGTCAAGGTGTCCCCTTCCTTTGCTGGGGGGAGCAGCATCCATGCATGTGCAGAACAGCTTCAGGCCAAGGCAACTGCTGAAGCTGGGAGGCTCAGGGAGACTCAGGGGCGAGGGATGGTTCACTAAGTATCAAACAAGGGGTTGTCCCTGCACATGCTTTTTATTTATTTTTATTTTTTATTTTTTAAATCTATCTTTATTGATTTCAGAGAGAGGAAGGGAGAGGGAGAGAGAGAGAGATAGAAACATCAGTGATGAGAGAGTCACTGATCCACTGCCTCCTGCATGCCCCAGGCTGGGGATTGAGCCCACAACCCGGGCATGAGCCCCGACCCGGAATGGAACCCCGATCTCTTGGATCGCAGGTCGGCGCTCAGCTGCTGAGCCACGCCGGCCGGGCTGGACGTGCTTTTTAAGTGAACCCTGGAGGACAACAGGAGGTATCAGAGCAGGGGTCTACCCTTCACACCTCTGGAAGAAAATCAAAGAAATGATGGCAATTCGGTAACAACAAAACAGCACCAGACACTTTAGTGAGGAGAATGGCTTCACAAACTCCTAGTTGGATAAAATACTAAGCAAGAATGGAGAATATATGAGTCTTGATTGATGGACACAATTTCTAAGTACATTTTAAGCACTGAAGATTTTTCATTTTAACAAAAATATTTTTATACTCAATAAAATGGTTCTATATGAAATAAAAAATCAGTTAAATAATAATACCAAAAAATGTAAATAAGTATTGTTATAAGCCTGTGTCAAAATATAAAAGCAGACTGACCCAGTCTGGTAATTTTATAATCCCCAAGAAAAGACAAGATATATATTTTTAAAGACTAGCATAATGAAGGTTTCTACATACATATAGTTTTAGTTCTCTCACAAAGTTCTTTCCACACATTGGACATGTTGCAATAATCACAGATAAAATGGAAAAATTAAGTTACACACGAAAACAAGATGAAAACATACCAGTGAAAAGAACATGAAAATTTCAACCACTGCTCAAGCAGAGTGATAACAAATGCAGTGTCCACAAAATATATCTGTATGCAAGCTACATGTTTCCCTCAGCAAAATAATGAATTGCAAGACTTAAATTCCAAGTCACTTATTTCAACAAATTCATCTGATGGGGTAGGGAAAATATTCATAAACTTCTAATGTTCACCTGGAATTCTCATTTATAGAAAATTATAGATAGAGGTAAACACACACACCTGTATATGCCCACTATTTAGACATGCGTCATGATAAGTAGCAATAACCAAATTTTTGTCAACACGTATCATTGATTATGCCTATCATGGAAAAAGTGAGTCAGGTAATGATGCTGAAAGCTCGAGTTACAGTATTTGATGTAGAAATGTCAAATAAAAGTAATATCAATTTCACAAGTCAAACACGCTTCTGAAATCATGTAACCTTTCTGTTCCCGTTTGCTACTTGCAGAAAGGGATTACAAACAGCTCTCCCATACCACCCAATGATAAGGAGGGGAAAAGAAAGGAAAATAAGATAAAAATAGCTACACATTTATTGTTAGATTAAATGTGCTAAGGTGATGAAACTGTCCTACACTGTATCTGAACTGCTCCTTAGTTGATCATGGCTGACATTCCTCACATTGTGACCTTGGGAAGCACTGGTTCCCATTTCCCAAGGTTGCTGAGAATGTGCAGAAACAGACTTCGAAACTACCTAGCGAGTAACAGAAGTCAACAATTAAGGCCATATTTAGAATTAAAGAAAACAATTAGGAAGGAAATAAAATAATTGAGCAGGAAACAAATAGATTTTTTTCTATTTACTAATCTCATGTCATATGTACAAGGACAGTAGAATTAAATTGGGTAGATTTATCATTTTAAAATTTATCTTCACTGTTGTTACAATTCTGTAATAAGTGGAAGCCAAAGTCATACAAGTCGAAGAAATGGGAGGATCCCAGTATAGGGAATTAGTACTTAACTCTCTGTAAAATAAAGAGTCTCATGGCCATACTATCTGCCTAAGAAGGCCCCTATCTTCCTACTCAGCCAAAGGGTTTTCATCCAAGAAGAAAAAATGGTCTTTGGAATGAGAAAGGCCTACCACTCACCAGCCATGTCACCCTGGGCAACCTGGGTACATTTCAAGTCTCTGATCTTTAGCCTATAAAAATGTGCAAAGTTGTTGAGGACAGTCGGTGAAACATCTGTGAACTCACACTAGTTTTTTCTCCCTCCTCCTCACAGAGCCATCCTGATCACCCCAGCAAATCGGGAATAATGCACAGATCACTCATTATTTTCCCAGCATTTACTGGCTGCGAAGTTCATGTGCTAATTAATTATATGTGACTTTGTGATGTATTAGCTCCTATTACTGATATCTTAAAGGGACTACCCAACTTTCTGTGCTTTGTGGTTATTTTGTTGTGGAAACCAGACAACACTGCTTCAAATCAAGATTCATCCCAGCATCTTTTCTCAGGCCCCAGCAATGTGTGTGGCTGAGTTACTCTATTGCCCAAGGGTTGTGGGGTCCTGCAATGGACACGGAGGGTGGGGGCCATGCGCTAGGACATGAGAGCTGCAGCTGGCCTCTAGGAGCCTCTCAGCTCGTGTCTGGGAGAAGGACAGGCCACATCTACCCGGCTTCCATTTTACCTGTCGCTGGGCTCCAGTTGGTGGGTACAGCTTGTAACTGCAGGAGTGTGAAGGGCTCATCAGCAGGATGCAAGCTCACATACCTGGATGAGATAGTGCGAACATAAATTGAGAAGCTCCAACAGCTGCAGGTGACTGCCAGCTGCTAACACGTCCTGGATCACGCCTGGCTCCAACAAAATCTGTTTTTTAATAAAAAGGAAACTATCAGTTACTTAAAAATTAATACTTGCTTAACATGAAAATATATTGCTATATTTAAATTGCCGCTTAACATGCTATATCTGATTAATGAGCTGTGGCCCTCACTAACAGCTGAGTTCTCATTTTAATACTCATTTCCTGTGTATAAGGCTCTGCATTTAACAACTTATTTTTATTTATATATAGGTATGTTTTTATTGATTTCAGAGAGAGGAAGGGAGAGGAGAAGAGAGAGAGAAACATCAATAATGAGAGAGAATCATCAACCGGCTGCCTCCTGCATGGCCCCTACTGGGGATTGAGCCCGAAACCTGGGCATGTACCCTGACAGGGAATCAAACCATGACCTCCTGGTTCATAGGTCAACATTCAAATACTGAGCCACACCAGCCGGGTTAACAACATATTTTTGTAGGAGGATATAAACATTTGCAAAGAGTAATATAATAGTTTTAAAATTCACTTGTGATGTATGTAATCTCATAACATTCAAAAACAAATTTTAGTTTTTCAAAGTATATTTCAGAATTTTATATCAGTACAGTTAATAGGTATTTCAGGGAAAGGGGCTTATGTTTCTCCTTGCAATATGAGACTAGAGGTGGATATTATTCCATTTTACTTCTAAGTCCAACAATAGAAAATTTCAGCCACACACTTTCTTTTTTCTCTTTCTCAATCTGACATTCTCTAATCCTTTCTGTTTCAAATGCAAGATGCAGAAATAGCATCTTCACAACACGAAGGCATCACAGACAAGTAAAACTTCCCAAATATACTGGTGATATCAATTCTTCATTTTTTTCTGGTTAACTCCAACTTTGTGCTGCTGAATAGGGCTGGAGGAAAAACCCACAGTCACGTTCACTAAATTCATTTTACATGAATGACTGACAGACCCAAGGAGGCCTTAGTGCCGCTCCTGACATCTTAACTCATTTCCCATTTCCCCAGCCCGGTCGTTCCCAAAGTGGAGTCTCTGGACCAGCAGCATCAGCATCACCTGGGAACTTGGGAGAACTGCTCAGAAACTTTTAGGGGGAGGCCCAGCAACTGGTGTTTTACCAAGCCCCCTGGTGGTTCTGAAACACTGATGTGGTCCATTCACTCCCACGCTGCTACTTCTCACGTGCACCCCTCACCCCCATCGTCTTCTCCTTGCTCTAACCTCGAGATCTTCCAAAGGCTCTCTGCCAAATCCACCGGCCACCTACCCATCTCCGCATCAGCACATCTTGCTTTCCTCAACACTCTGCTAGTGCGCGAGACCCCAAACCCTTCTGCTGGCAATTATCCCCTCTCGGTCCTGCATCATTATCTGTTCTTTCTACTGGTGGTAATTCTCCATCAGCATACAAATAGGCAGTGACAGCTTTTATCTTAAGAAATGAAAACCCCTTCCCTTGATTCCATAGCTCCCTCCATGCTCCCCTTCATGACCAAGTCCCTCAGGAAGGGTGTCTGTATAAAACACCTACATTTGCCGCTATTTGTTCTACTGTGTTCTCTCTCGAACACACCCCTGTTGAGTTTTGCTCACCTGTTCCTCTAAAAATGCTCTTGGTCGAGGTCACCAGTGACCTCCAAATCCAACAGGCAAATCCAATGGACACTGCTCAATAATTAGTCTTACTCGAGCCAGCAGCAGTTAGCAAAGTTGATCGCTCTCCTAGAATGATTTCTTCCCTTGCTTCTGGCACAGCGCTCCGTCTGCTGGTTTCTTGTACTTCACTAACCGCTCCCTCTCCTCCTTCCCAACCCATAAGCTTTGGAGATGCCCAGAGCTCAGTTCCCAAATCTCTTTTTTCCTCTCTCCATTCACGGTGGATGAGTCATGTAACCCCATGGCTTTAAAACTATCTATATGCCGATTATACTCAAGTTTGTTTCTTCAGGCCCACCTCACCCTTGAACTCCACACCATTCTGTCCATTGCCTATGCCATGTCGCCACCAGAAAGTCTAACAGGCAGCTCAAACTGAATGCGCCCCATTCTGAACTCTGATCCTCTCCACCGACCATCAAACCTGCTCCTCTCCCAACCCTACCATCTCAGCAAAGAGCAACTCTCAGTTATTTAGGCTAAAACCCCAGAGTGATTCTCAGCCCCTCTTGTTTTCCTCACATCTCATATCTGATCCACCAGCCACTCCTGGTGACGCTATCTTCAAAGCAGTTCCAGAGTCCAACCGCCACTCAGTACCACTTCCATCCGTATCACTCTAGTCCAATCCACTGTCTTCCTAGACGTAATATAATAGCCCCCTAACTATTGAACTGTTTCTCTTTTGCCCCCACACACTGTTTGGGGGCAAAACTCAGTCAAACTCGTCCTTTAAAACACAAATAAAATCATGTCACTCCTTTACTCAAAACTCTCAAATGACTTTTTATCTCATTGAAGAAAACCCCAATTCTTCACTGTAACATAAAAGGTTCTTTGAATACACTGAGGACCCTAGTGTTTCCAACTAGCTGCTTTCTCTGCATGGATCACTCTTTCTCAAGACACCAGCATGGCTTACCCTCTCCTGTCCTTCAGTCCTCTGCTCAAATATTGTCTTACCTGGGGGCCCTCTCTGACCACCCTACGTAAAACAGTGCCCCACGCGCCAGCACTCCTCATTCCCTATGTCCTTACTCATAGCACTTACCACCTCTCAACATGGCACATATTTGTCTATTGATTATTTTATCTTTCTCCACTCAAAGGATATAAGATCCAGAACACGGAGTTAATCTATTTTGTATCCCCAGTGCTCAGAGCAATGCCTAACACTCAGCTTTCACTTAGTCTTGGTGAATTTATTTTATAATAGATCATCGATAAATCAATTTATTTCTAAGTATATTTTAAAATTCAGAATTAATTTTTAATTTAAATTTAAAAAATATATATCTTTATTGATTTCAGAGAGAGGAAGGGAGAGGGAGAGAGAGAGATGGAAACATCAATGATGAGAGTCACTGATCGGCTGCCTCCTGCACGCCCCCGACTGGGGATCGAGCCTGCAACCCGGGCATGTGCCCTGACCCAGAATCAAACCCCGATCGCCTGGATCTTAGGTCGACGCTCAACCGCTGAGCCACGCCCAGCCCGGCTAATTTAACTTTTAATTAATCTTTTGGTTAGATTAATCTAACAGAAGAGAAAAGAAGGACTATAAATTATATTTCTGAAGTACTTAAAGAAGTGAAAAAGTTAAGCACATGTGGCAAAAATACCCACACTCCTCTTATTCTGAAAAGTCTCTATAGCTCCTTTTCCTTCTAGTCAGAAGGAAAACCTGCATTTCCCCAACTCCTCAAGGAGAGAGGCTGTGACTGACATTCAGGAAATGAGTGCCGCTCCCATCACAGGTGCAAGAATGTGGTGTATTCTTGCAGAAGAGGCATGGCCTAAGGCACAGAATGGGGAATAGAGAGATTAGAAAGGTTGGTCTCAGCCTTTAAATCCTGTCAGCTGCGCTTATCTCACACAACTGGCTTTCAGGATGACCTCCCAGGCTCTGTAATGCCAAACACAAAGACAGATATCACAGGGAGACAAGATGAATATTCCGCAGCACATGTAACACGTCCAGCGGGCTCCCTTGGAGAAACCCTGCCATGAAAATCACATGCCTGGATGGTTTCTATCTTTGTTTCTTGTTTCACTGTGCTGGAGTTTGTGTTTTCTTCTCATTATAACACAAGTTTTTCTAAAAGATGCTTTAGCACAGAAAATCCCTAAGTGCTTTCAAAGGGTGCACTTTGAACCCCCCCCCCCAAAAAAAAACCCTACCAGGAAAGCCGGGTCTCACTTAGGGAAACAGAACCAGCATTCGCAAGCCCCATATGTGCTGGAGTCTTTTCAATTCAGCTTTGTTGATCTTCTCCAGAGAATGTGTGTATGGGAAGGAATACAAAACTCACCATCCTCACAATTTACAGCAAATTATCAAAGTTTTGAATTTATAAACCACCAAGTAAATTAAATACAACAGTTTAAATAACTGTTAAATCAACACATATTCAAGACACATAAAACCCTTTGCATAAAGTTCTTCAGGAGACTTCTACAGACAGAATGTGAACCATAAAATCTAGCTATGAGAAGCTGCCATCAATGTAGTTTTTGTTTCAAAGCCATTACACTAAGGATTTTTTTATCCACAAGGTGGCGCCTAGGTTAAGCAAAAGGATTTTCTTTATTATTCATGGACTGTACCTCTACAACAGACACCTTTATTTTATTTTTAGGAAAGAAAAATAAATCAAGTAAGGATAATAAAACATATAAAATCTACTTTCTAAATTTCTCTATCACTTGAGAAATGTTCATAAATATATCTGTTGAAATGCTTGATTTGAGCAATACTGATTAGAATTCAGTAATTCTCCATAAATCAGGTCCCAATATTTGAATGTAGCTCAAACTTTTTGCCCTCATATTCAGAAACTCTCACGATGTGACCCCTCAACCTACTTTTTAAAACTTAATTCCAATCCTGTCACCTATGGTCCCTTTGCTAAAGCCAAGAGCTCACTGCTCTTAACACTCAGGCAATATCTTTTTCTCTACCTTGAATGCCCTCACCTCGCTTCTTCAATATCCATACATCAAAACCCTACCCATTCTTCAAAATTCAACTCTAAGTCCACTTCCTACACAAAACTTTGTAAGATCTTCCCTCTCTGCAACCTCCAGCTGGAATCAATCTCCTGGGGTTACCAACCACCACAAACACTGAACTAGACCCATGGGCTCTAGGTCACCCTGCCTGACTTCAAATCCTGGCTCCTCTACTTGCTGGACAAATGAGACTGTGAAAATGATCAAACCCTATGTGCCTCAGTGTCTTCATCTGTACAATAAAAATAATACCTCTCTCAAAAGATTGTTTTAAGCACTGAGAAAATGCTATGCATCACTACAGCTGCATATGCCTGTGTGTCAACAAAACGGCTTAAACAAGTATGGGTTTTATTTTCCCCA